TCTCTGTCTGTGTGTGTGTGTGTGTGTGTGTGTGTGTGTGTGTGTGTGTGTGTGTGTGAGTGTGTGTCTCTCTCTCTCTGTGTCTCTGTGTGTGTGTGTGTGTGTCTCTCTCTGTGTGTGTGTGTGTGAGTCTCTCTCTCTGTGTGTGTGTGCCAGAAGAAAGCGGCTGCAGCTCGGTGTGAATGCGGTGTATTCCCGGAGCTGATCAGTGAGCAGCAGCAGATGGTGGTGTTGATGAGGCTGAAGCTGCTTCACTCTCTCAGCTCTTTGAACGCGTCGGTCAGAGAAAGAAGTGTCCCGTCGGGAAGAAGAACCGCGCGTCTGCTGAACAATAACAGGTGAGCAGATGTGCGCAAATGCAGACGGACGACAAACACGGTTTAATTTACTCTTAGCCAGTGATAGACAGAAATGATGAGGACGAGAGTCACTGCAAACCCTGATCACCTCGTCCAGCGTCAGGAAAGCACTTCTGCTCAACATTAACACTCATATTACGTCACTGGTCAGCTTGACCTGCACTAATTCTTGATTCGAGTTGTCAGTTTTCAGACAATCTGATATGTCGTGTTGTGGAATGTGCGCACAAAATTTCTATTACAATTATGATGTTTGCGGGTTAATTTCAGTTAGCTGGGAATCAAACCCATAATCTCAGTGCTTGTTTTAGTAACATTTTTGAGATTTTATGAATTAGTTTTTGTTTAAACTTTTAGTTTTCATTTTAATTTTAGTTATATATAATTTTGTTTTTAGCATTTTTTTCCATTTAATTTCTTTCTTTTTAGTAGTGATTTTAGCAAATGGCTGCAATATAACAAAGAGTGAAAAATTTAAGGGGGTCTGAATACTTTCCGTACCCACTGTAGTATTTATTCATATTTCGAATCATTTTTTTATTTTTAGATTTTCAGTTTTCACTTCTATTTTAGTTATAGAAATTTGGTTTTACAAATTGTTTGTCATTGTATTAGTTTTTTAAAATACCTATATAGTCTATATAGTTTTTATTAATTCAGTGTTAGTAAATTTAGTCCATCAAGTTAGTTGCCTTTGCAACTAGATGAAATAAAACATTTCAGGCCGGGCTAGAGTGAGCTGAGGCGGCGGGGTCGAGAACAAAAATACAATACAATATATAAATAACAGATCTCAAAAACAACAACAAAAAAATCAGTATGAATCATTATGAACAAACATTTCTCATCAAATACTGAATGTCAACAACTGTCAAAAAAAACAAAAAAACAATAAAAATAAACTTAATTTCCCTTCAAAATATTGCAAAGAAACTTTCTGAAAACTAAATAATTGATTTTATTTTCCTTATACATATATTTTTCTTTCTAAAACTATTAAATAAACAGTATTTTCTTTCAAAAATAAAACATTTTTTATAATATTTATTTATAATATATGTATACACACACACACACACACTCACACACACAAACACACACACACACACACACACACAACTTTACAGATCTTCTTTATGCACCAAGAGCTTGTAACACTCCAAAGAGAAAGGAAAAATTGAAATCGCATCATATGACCCCTTTAAACTCCAGAGGATCGAGGGCTTCACTCACCCGGCCGACTTCAACCAGATTGGTAACCATGACGATAGTTGCTGTGTTCTCCTGCCACACCATCCTCCAGAAGTCATAGATGGTCTCCTGCATCGGACCTGAGGAGCAAAGAACTCATTTCACACAAACAATCAAGAGAATAATGTCGCAATATATATATATATATAGCACATTAAGCCATAAACCACACACACCTATTTATTTATTTATTACAAATATTTCTCCTAGACAGATATGAGATTAAATAAAGACCAAACTGTTGAGGTCTAATGTTTCTCAGATGTTTTTTCCTGAGAAAAAGACTCCAGTATCTCACGTCTCATCTAGAGCTTTAGAAAAGATCAACAATGTCTCAAACTGTGCAAACAAACATCATATATATATATA